ATTAGCTACCTATCTCATTATTTTGGGAAAAGATGCACAAATTAAAAAACAATCTCAGAGTCAAGTATTATGGCATATGCCTGTAATCCCACCATTCAGGAGGCTGGGGCAGGAGGAAAATCATAAAGTTGAGGCCAGCCTGGACTATATAGTGAGCAATGCTAGTCTGAACTACATATAAGATCCCGTCTTATAAAAAACAAACAGGTCTGGGGGTTATAGCTCAGTGGCACAGCACCTGCCTAGCAAGTACAAGGTCCTGAGTTCAATTCTTAGTAAACCAAACCAAACCAAACCAAACCAAACCAAACCAAACCAAAAATAACCCACAAACAGCTAAACTACTAGAGAAATTGTTGATTCCACATAGAGTAGTTTTAAGTGCCTAATGCATATTTGGCTCTGCTAAGCTTTGCAGTTAAGATATATATACCTTACCTGGTTTCCAGGTTTGACTAAGCGTAGAGCAGCTTCAGCACATAGGTGAGCTGCCTTAATGACATCTGCTTTCCTCCCAGTTACTTGGGTTCCCTGTAGATAAGGAAATGGAATCAGTGTCTTCCTAGAAAGTTTACTAGTTCAGCCAACCATTTGACTGGTGTCTACAGGCAGCTACCTACCTACCTGAGGCACACCAATGATAAAAGTGTGAGCCACATTAGCAATGAAGCCATCGACGTGGACCCCAAGGTCACTGAAAGGCAAGTGGAGCACTGCATTAAGAAGAGGCGTTATAGAAATGCTCAGGAAAAAAAAAGCTCTCGAAGGTTTAACCTTACATTTTTACCAAGTCACCTTCCTTGAGAATATAGTCCTGGTCACTCTTCAAAGGGGAGAAGTGACATACACAGTTATTTACCGAAATGCTGGTAGGAAAGGCAATACCTGTAAAAAGAATCATCAGCCTTACTGCCTTGCTCTCTCTCTCAGGAGCCCTACTGCTCTTTAGAGAAATGAAAGGGTGTTTTTCAGGGACTTGATTAAAATCAGTTTGGACTGGGTAGGAAACTGTCCCATTGCCACTCCAAATATCAAGTGGAACTAGAGTGGTGATTATATCATAACAATAAAAACAAAGATCAAACCTGCGAAATTAAGGGAAGGATTTTTTTTTTTTTTTACCTTTCTTCATTTCCTTTTCTTTCTTGAAGATTTTTCCCGTCTCTTCCATAATCATGGCATCACCTTTCTCACACAGACTCAATACTGACACACCTGAGCTGGATGCTTCCACCAAAGATCGAAGTACCCCTGGGGACAAAAATCCCACCGTGAGTCAGGCACAGTGGCACACTCCTGTAATCCCAGCACTTGGCAGGAGGATTGTTTCAAGTTTGAGACCAGTCTGGGGTACAAAATGAACTCAAGGCCAGCCTGAACCACATAAGGAGACCCAGTCTCAAAAAGACAAAACAAACAAACATCCACAAAAAACAAACAAAAACAAAAAACACAACAAACAAACAAAAAAACCCCCACCATGTCAGCTCTGTGTGTATTTATTCACCACACAAGTAATACTTGGGAAGCTGCATTCACTGTCTAATAATGTCTACTACCACTGTCCTGAGGCTTACAGGGGAAACAAGTTTTGCTTCCTGGAATGGATCCACCTATAATCTCAAATTTCTACCTTCCTTTCCTAAAACAAAAAGGGCAACACTCCCTTCTTTCCCTTACATTATTATGAGACAATTGGGCATATACAATTTTTCTCTGTCAAGGCATCAGGCTTCCAAAGATGGTATCTTTGGTGTAAGTGTTATGAACTTCAGGGGATTCTTACCAACATATCCTATATACATGCAAAAAAGCCATAAGAAATTTATAGGCGTCAGGGACAACAAGGTAGACACACAATTGCTGAGTTGAAGCTGATGCATTGTTAAATATTACCTCCTCCTCTTCTCAGACACCCTAATTAGGTGTTAGTAATTTCAGCAATTTTACTTATGTAGTAATTTCAGTAATTCTACTTATGTAGAATTTATTTCCTCACAAACAAGTATAAGCCTAGTGGACTTAATTTAAGGTTCCCAAGGGACCCCATGGCTTATAATTTTTAGAGGGTCTCAAGCTTCGTGACCCCAGTTTCAGTATGAAGGATCACAAGCACCTCCAGTTACAAAATAAGAGCATCGCTTACCCCAAGAGTGTACTATATACTAAATGTTGATTATGTTGCACTGTTCTGTTCACACCCTCTCTATGACCCAGATCCACCCTGAATTTAGTCTGATTTTTTTTTTTTTTTTGAGATTTTGGCAATTCTTTGGGACAAGAATCCTTTGACAAGGTTCAGTCATAGGACCAAAGGCATTCTAACTACCTCCTCCCACTACCTCTACTGTTAAAACACATAAAAGCCCAAAGACAAGGAATTTTTATCTAAGTGGATCTTAAAATATTAAAGTGAGGCAGGTCGGTGGCATATGACTGTAATCCCAGTGGATGAGGCAGAAGGGTCACTGTGAGTTTAAGGCCAACCTGGGATATAGAGTGAGATCCTGTGTCCAAAAAAAAGTGAACTGGAAATAAAGAAAATGAAGAGTGAAACATTGGCTTAGAGTGCTGGGAACTGTTGAGAAACAGCATAGCTCAGGTAAGTATAATTCGTGACACTTATAAAGTCAACCAGTCTCTCCTTTTCCAGTACTGTTCAGAAGTCTGCATAGTTGGGGTGAGAGCAAGAACTAAGACACTGTCAAGTCCCTAAGATCACATTTGGAAAACTAAGGCCGTCCGCACTGATTGGAGGTGGTAATAATGAATAACTTCCAGAAAAGCCAACTAAGTGCCCTCCAACGGCCTCCTGAGTTAGCCCAAAGAAGGAAGGGGGCCCCCATCAGGTAAGAGCTGAAGGAAAGGCGCTAGCAAAGCACGTGGTAGGGAAGCTGGTGTCAAGGACCGCAGCGGAGGGGGAGAGGAGCCAGCGATCCGAATGGGGACTAGGCAACACGTGCCCCAGCTCAGTTCCTGGGGCCCGGAGCTGTGACTGAATAGAGGGGTGAGAAGGAAGCTAGGCGCTTCCTTCTCAAGGTGGCCTCGCTCCTACCAGTGTCAGAGGAAGCAGAGATCAGAACTGAAAGGTGAGGGGCAGGAGACGACGCGCCTTGTTTCCTTACCGCCGGCCTAGGGTCCCAGCCTGCCGGGGGCCCTCTCTGCGCTCCTCTCGGTCCCCGGCCCGCACCTCCACACTCCAGCCTGGACTGGTCGCTCAGTCCCCAGCTCGACACCAGGTCTTCCTACCACGCCGACCCGGCGGACCGGTGCGCGACCCTCGGGAGCTCACTCCGCAACACCCTGCCGCTCCAGCCCCTCCGAGGACAGCCCAGCACCTTTCCCTCTCAGCCTCGATTCCCGGACCCCTGAGGCCGCACTCACGGTTGGCGATGTCGCCCCCCATCTTATACTTGGTCACGACCAGGTCTTCGGCGATAGTTTGCTCCTGCTGTTCGTCCTCGCCCGACATCTTCTCAACACCACTGCAGCTTCGCTTCCCTTGAGCCGCCGACTCCGTTTCCCTTCCCAAGCCGCAGGTTGTGACCAGAGGCCCCTAGATCCACGAAGCGAGCGCGAGCGAAAGCTCCAGCAAGCAAGGGAGCGGGCGGGCAGGCGGGTGTCGAGAGCTAGAAGCTGCGAGCGCGCGGGCTGAGGCGCAGGGCACGTTGGGAGAACGAGTCCTGCCCACTGCCTGCTTTCAGCCGCCCTTCTATTCTCAGGAACTACAACTCCCAGCCTGCTCCTCGCGGCCCTCGCCAGGCCCCGGGGCCTTGCCCTCCGAGGGCCTCGCACGCCGGAATCGCCGGGCACTCTGGGAAGGGTCAGGCTCCGGCGGGAAGGCGGAGCCGTTGACAAGCCGGAGGGAAAGCGTGGTCTCTCCAGAAAGAATCACATCCAAAGAGAACGCTGAGCAAGAGCCGTAACGGGGGTGGGAATGGAGAAGCACGGAGAAGCTCGAGGAGTGGAATTAGAGGTGGCAGGATGGGTGGAGCCGGGTGGAGGCCAGGTGGGTGGGCACGCTGTACACCTAGGGCGGGGAAGCTGGGCGCGCAGTCTTTAATCCCTGGATCGGCGGGCGCGACCGGCCCTGCCGGTCCAATCGTCCTCCATGGCTAGAACAGGGAGGGGCTGAGCCAACGTGGAAAACCAGGGATGGGTGCTGGGGAGAATGGAGCTAGTTGGCAGGTCAACTGGGCGGCCAAGCTCCGAGGGGTTACCCATTTTCTGTGGCCTCTCTGTGTGGGGTGCAGACATCCACTTAAGTAACAATAGTTTAGCAGTAAGCTTTGATAGGGTACCTAAGGGGAGTGCCCCGAAGGAAAGACTGATTTTTTTATCGTTCATGAGAGAAAAATTCTGGAGTGTTTTGTTTCCGTACTGTGAAGGAGAAAGCACATGCAAAGGCCTTTCCTGCCAAGTGTGGTGGTTATACACCTGTAATCCCAAAGCTGAGGCAGGAAACCAAGCTCAAGGCCAGCGGCACATTAGTGAGTTCAGGGCTATCCTGAACTACCATAGTGAGACCCTGCCTCAAAAAACCAAAACCAAAAAGCCGGGCATGATAGTGCACTTCTGTAATCCCAGCATTTGGGAGGCTGAGGCAGGCCCCTGGGCCACAGAGTCCAAGGCCACCCTGAACTGCATGGTGAGACCCGGTCTCAAAAAAAGACAAAAACCCAAACCAAAAAACCTTTTTTAATCTCCCCAAGCATACTTTGTTATTGCCTTGTAGCAATTACTAGTAAATCCTTAAAAGGTCTGTGCCCAATGCTGACATCTTTCTACCTCAGTTTCTGGATTTTGGGGTTACAGGTGTCCATCACTATGCTGGTCACTGTTTGCTTTAAAAAGAAGTTTTAGAAAGAATTAGGCCTGCAGAAACCTGGACAGGATAACAGAAGGAATATCAGAAAACAAAAAGGTAGTTTATCCACTGCTGAGGAGCAGAGAAAAGGGGTGGGTGGTTTACTATAAACAAATTTTCATTTGACAGGAAGTTGAAAAACTGGCATTTTTATTCAGGCATGTATAAAAACAAAAACATTCAATCATAGGACATCTCCCCCTCCTTCAATCCAAGAGAACAGAGGTCTGAAGACCAGTCCTCTTCCTAACCTACCTGGAAGCTTCTCATTTTTGGATGAAAATACAGTAGCTCCTAAAAGTAGGTCTTTGGAACCTTAGTGAATCTACTTATAGAGTAGAGATCACGGAGACAGCACATATGAACTATGGTTTACACAAAGACGTTTTTTTCTAACCACTCCTCCACCACTATCTGAGAAGTCTGGGTGTAGGAGGAGGATGTGGCTGTTGGAGTTCAGCTTGATTCAGTGCAAAAACAAGAAAACAATGTCCCTTACATGGGCTATGATTTGTATCAAGTTGTCTTGACAGGTTATAGTAAGAGCAAATGCTTTGGAATTAGGGAGATTTTAAATTATGGACCTGGGACTTAATTTCTTCAGGCTTAGTCCCCCCCACCCCCACGGTTTTCAGTGATTTTTTTTTTTGGTACCAGGAATCAAACTTAGGACCTTACACTTGTCAGACAAGTGCTGTGCTGCTGAGTTGTATCCCTGGGTCTCTTCTCAGTGATTTGCTTTCTGCAGTTTGAGTTACTTGTGGCAACTACAGTCTGAAAAAAAATTTTTTTTTTTTTTTGGTGCCAGGGATCAAACTCATGACCTTGAGTTTGCCAAGCAGGCACTTACCCTGTTGAGCTAAACTCCAGGCTCTCCAGTCTGGAAATATTAAATGGAAAATTGAAGAAATAATTCAGAAGTTTAAGTAGCATCCTATTCAGAATAGCATGATGAAATTGCACACCATCCTGTTCTGTCCTGCTCAGGGGAATTAACTCTTTGCCCAGTGTATCCACCTGCCCATTAGTAGCCTTCTCAGGTGTCATCAGGCTGCTGTGGTGTCACAGTATTTGTATCCAGGTACACTGCTTTTACTTAAGAATGGCCACACAGTGCAAGAGTTGTGGTACTGGCAATTCAGACATGTCAAAGAAAAATCATAAAGGACTTCCTTTAAATGAAAAAGTGACTATTCTTAATAAAGAAAAAAATCATATGCTGAGGTTGCTAGCATCTATGATAAGAACAGTTCTGTGAAAATGGAAACAGGTACCAGTCCTAATTTTGTTGCTGGATTTCAAACTGCAAGTTATGGACAATGCGTAAGTACTTCACTGAAGGAAAATACATTATATAGTTCAGTAATATCCCCAGGTTCAGACATTTACAGAATATCTTAACACCTGAGGGCCACTGTCTATAAAATGAGATGTCTACCTCACAAACTTATGTAGATTATAAAGAGTTATGTGAAGCAGTATAGGAGAGATTTAGCATGATACCTGGCTCTTGGTTAAGTGCTCAATAAATAGTAATCAATAGCTACCCTCTTTCTTCCACAAAATTTGTGCTTTCCAGGGGATTATAAGTCAGAAGCCAGAATTCAACTCTCCTTTGCTTTTTCCCATTTCTTCCTCTTTAAGACAGTCTGATGGGAAAATAACCTGTAAGTGCCTGAGAGAGAGACTGGGGAAATAATCCTTCATATCTCCAGGGAGTTCCTGTGAGGAAGCTGAGGAGTGGGATTAGCAGACTAGACAAAACCTCTTTTCCTGGGGCTGGGAAAGAGAAGAAAGTGCACAGCTAACTATATTCTGTAAGAATTTCACTTTAAAAGTGTTTAAAAGCCTCGAAAGGTTGAATGGAATTATCTAGGCCTGGAGAAATGGGGCTGAGACCTATGAGGGAGAGGGAGTTGGGAAGAGTGTCCTCTATAGACACTAGCTGCCATTAAATGCTCCCGAATATATCAGGGAACAGGGGTTATGTTCTCTGGGCATTAGCCTTAGGGAAAAGCCTGCTATGCCAGTAGTCAGGATTATCAAAGGCCGAGTCAGTGGCTTCTAAGCTTCGTAGAGTTTTGAGGCGGGCATAGCGAACATGGGGGGCATTGTGTCCAGGCCCCTGGAAAGCTCTCATCTCTTCATAGCCTTGTTCAGCTGCTGGGCAGGCCCCCATGGCTGCATAATCCCCCCCTGTACCACTTCCACGCTGCCGATTCATATATTCATAGTCCTCATCAGGAGTGGTGCCAGCAGTGGGTATGATGGGAACAGGATGGAGTGGGCAACTCTGTGTGCTACCCAGAGAGGCACTGAGGTCTGATCCTACATCCATGTACTCATAACCCAGCTCCTCGAGGGAACCAGGCCTAGGGGGACGAGGTAGACTATGCCTTCTCCTCCGGTTCATGTATTCATACTCTTCATCTTCATCTTCTTCTTCAGTACCCAGGACAGAACTGAGACCCACTGAAGAAAGGGTACCTTCCTGGGAGGAAGAAGTGCCTAGGGTTGAGAAGAGAGTAGAGGTATGTGGAGAATATCATGGTAACAGGCAGAAGGGGTTAAAGGAAGGCTTGAAAAAGAACAATAGGGAGGGATGTGATCAGAGAAAATAATTAAGAGGAGCTTGAAGAAAGGATTAGAGGAAGATTTGAAGAAAGCCCTTGGAGGAGTCAGGCACCTTTAAGATGTGTGTCTGGCATGACATAACCGTTGACATCCTCTTCTTCTAAGCCCGGAGGGGAGAGTGGGGTGACAGGAGTAAGCAGGCTATGGCGCTGGGAATGGTAGGCACTGTCTCCGCGTGGCCGTGGGCTCCGGCTCCGGCTTCTACACATTGACACCTTCTCTTGGAGCTCAGTGTCACAGCCTGTCACATGGTCCTCTGATGATTCTGATGCCAGGCGTGCCCGTGGCACTGGGTGTAAAGAGACAGGACGGGGGCACCGTTCACTATCCCCACAAACTGCAGACTCCTAAGGAGAAAAATAAACAAAATATAATAGGGTTGATTCAATCTCAGGACAAAGAAAAAAGGAAAGGGAGAGAGATGTTTGTTTAGGAGGAAGTTGGGCTGTTTGGTTCCTTTCTCGTAGGCTGCTGATGAAACCTTAACGGTTTCTACTGTACCACACTACCCCACAGCACTTATCAAGACCTTCTGTCTCCTACCTCTCACATATCTCACCTGGGGGGCTTCCCCGAGGTTACTTTGGTTCATGGGCATGTATCCAGATGATGGGCTTAAAAGGCTCTGGCTCTAGGATGGAAAAGTAAGGAAAAGCTTAAACTGAAGGAGAAATCTACTTTTACAGGTAAATTACAGATTAAGTTGCAGTAAGTAGTTAATGTGGATATCTGTACGGTACATGAGGGTTAAGGATAGGGAGTGCTCGAGTGTTCGGAGGTGTTTTACCCCTCGTGGCCGGGTAAGTGTTCCAGCTGATAAGCTGAGGGCAGAACCTAGCGTGGTTGCCAGGCTGTCTTCCTCTGCCTCCAAGTCTGAGTCAAGGTCCAGTTCTGGCTCTAGCTCTACTTCTTCTAGTTCCTTGTTTGTCAGAGTAGAGGGCTCTGCCCCAGGAGGTATTCCAGACCCACTGTCTCTCTATAAGGGAGATAACTGTTAAGGTGAATCTCAGTTCCAGTCAAGTCCTCTTTTCTCTAAATGTCCTTGACATCTTCTAGTCCTCACTCACCCTTATGACTAGATACCGTGGTGGATCACGGGCCATCCTGGTGAACTCATTGGCTAGTTCTTTAAAGGTCGGACGAATATTCTCATCAATCATCCAACCTGAAGGTGAGACAAAGGAGACAGCCAGAAGAGGGATTAGAGGCATAGCAGAGAAGGAGGGAGTCAGAAAATGGCTGTGGTCCACAGGTAACTCACACTTGACCATGACCATGTAGACATCAATGGTGCAGATCTGAGGCTGTGCCAGCCGCTCCCCCTTCTCCAGCAGGTCTGGTACTTCAGCCAGTCGCAGCCCAGCATAGGGCTCTGCCCCAAAGGTCATCAGCTCCCAAACTGTCACGCCTGGCATGGCAAGAAATGGACTGATAGGCTGGAGATTTAGCTCAGTGGCATTAGCACCTGCCTGGCAAGTGCGAGGTTGTGAGTTCAATCCTCGGTACCAAAAAAAAAAAAAAAGAAGAAGAAAAAAGAAATGGACTGATCAGTCCAAAAACAGTAGATAGGCAGAGATGAAAGGAAAAGCAGAAGTGCTACAAGGATCTGAAGGCTCTATAGTTCTTAAAAGGAGAGGACTCAAAAGGCATTTGTGGGATTTGGGCCAGTGACAATGCAGAGACTCAGATGCACTGACCATAGCTCCAGACGTCACTCTGGTGTGTGTATTTCCCGAAGTGAATACTCTCAAGGGCCATCCACTTAATTGGAGTCTGAGGAGTAAAGATAAAGTTGCCACCAGTTGACTTCCACAAATTTTCTTAGCATTTCCAAACCCCAAGTTCTCTGTCATTCTTTTTATTGTTGCTTTCTGAGCTTAAATTTCTGGCATCTTTAGCTTTTTTCCTTGAATTTACCATGTAACAACTGCATACCTCAGAAAGAGACCACTAAATACTCCCTTATCCCCATGCTCCCCACCTGGCTGTGTTGTCACCTCACCTTGGCCTCACTGTGTAGCAGCTGCTTGTCATCAGGTGGCAGCAGGTCAGCCACACCAAAATCTGCGACTTGAACCTGACTGGGTGACTTAAGCAGCACATTTCGGGCAGCCAGATTCCTATGCACCATACTGTGCTCCTCTAGGTAGTACATACCCTGTGGTGGAGAAAGTAATTTTAGGGTTGGGGGAGTTGATTGTTGAGATATGGAGTTCCCCTAAACCCTGAAAGCATCTATCAGAACTTCAGTCTTCCCACTCCTCCCCCTACTGCCTCCAGCCAAATGGTGCTTAACTCCTTGAGGCTTCTCTCACCTTGGCAATTTGTACTCCCCAGTTGAGCAGCAGCTGAGGCCCCAGTGCCCCGCGGTGTTGTCTCACATGATCCAATAGGGAACCCAGAGGCAAGTATTGAGTGACAAGCTGCAGAGATGATCCTGGGCAAAGTCCTAGCAGCCGTACAATATGGGCATGGTCTAAGCTGCCAATGGCGAGCATATGCTATAAAACATGAGAAGCGTTATCCAGGGAACAGATTCCCATACGCTCAGCACATGTACAGCCAACTCAGGGCTCCCGCTAACATTCAAGTCCCGCAGCATAGCTAGCACTGTGTCTGTTCACACAGGACTATATTCTGCAAGACTATAACTAACACTGTCTTCTCTTCTCATGGCAGAGATTCCCCTTCCTCACTTACATCTGTCACAGCTTGAAAACTCTGCCGTCCACTCTTGTCCTCAATGACTTTAATGCAGACTGGAATCTTGATGGATTCACCTTCAGGGATCCACACTCCCTGGGAAGTTTGAGACAGGAGAAGGTGAGGGGCGTTTGCCCCAGATCATCTTTTGCCACAACCCTTTCCCCTTTACTACCTCCCCAGACTCTCTGTGGGTCACTCACTTTGTGCACTGTTCCAAAGACCCCTGAACCAAGCACTTTAAGCTTCCTCAGTTCTGTCTCTTTGAAGATTCTGGCATAGACTTTGTTAGCCTTCTCACTAGGATCCAGAGGTTCTAAGCTCTGAGAAGCAGATGGAAAAGAGGTACTCAGAAAAGCCCACACCATATCCCACTCCCACCAGCTCCCCACAAATGGATGCTAAGAGCAACAGCACCCAAAGAGGTGGGGGCAGGAAGGGCAATTGTCATTAGTCCTGGAACACATCATTGGCATGTTGAGAAATAACAGACCGAGGACTGAGGAAGTTGTGCTCATGAAGTTAGGAATCAAAGTGTTGGATGTTCCCTCTGACTGAAAATGGCTGTGGGAGGGAGACTGCAGAAAATTGGTTGTGGTATCCCCTTGAGGATCTTTTACAGTGTTCTGTGCTTTACAAATCATTTTTTCATGTTATGCCCATTCACCTTTCATCCAACATGGGAGAATGAGTGTTACTTCCTTTGTATAGATGCATAAAACCAAAGCACAAAGAAGGAAAGTAACTTCTTCAGGCTGGGGATTTGGCTCAGCAGCTCAAGAGCCTGCCTAGCAACTACAGTGTGGTGAGTTCAATCCCCCCGCAACAAAAACAACAACAACAACAAAAAGTAACTTCTTCATAGTTTATGGAAAATGGCAAAATGAAGACTAAAATTCATGCCTCCAGTTTCCCTAGCTGGTATTGGACCACACTGTCTCTTTGCAAAATTTGATCACATCTCTACAGGAAGAGAGGAGAGTGATGGTCACCCTATCATTAGTCCCTGGGTACAGATGACATAGATACCTCTCACAAGCTAAATACTCACCTCACCCCGTTCCAAGTAGCGCCTCATAGCCCTTTTATTCTGAATCCTGCGCCCACGCCAATAGAGAAAAGTGATGCCCAGGACCAGTAAAATCACTGTCAATCCAACTGTCACAGTCAATGCCAAATGGGTTTTGCTATGGGATGTAGAGAAGGCCAGCATTACCCTGAGTTTACACCTCCCTCACAAATATCACCTATATTTGTGCTGAAGGTATACTGCAGATCTGGGGCAAGAAGTTAACATTCACATATACATATATCCTTGGGCACAGAAGAGGTTTTCCTAAAGCTAGGATCTCCCTGCCTTTGGCTACTGTAAGTTAATATTAGGAAGGAAAGGCCAGAAGCCTAGATTCTTTTTTCTTCCCTCTCCCACAGAGACCATAGGGTCTCACTATGTAGTTCAGGCTGGCCCTGAACTCACTGTGTAACCCAGGCTGGCCTCAAACTCACAGTGACCTGCCTGCTTCAGCCTCTTTATTGAGATTACAGTTGTGAGCCACCATGCCAAGCTAGAAGCCTAGATTCTTGAATATAATGATAGTGACCTATGTATATAAAAGGCCAGAATGAACATAGCCATTCTTCCCTGACTCGAAACCAGTCCATCGCTAGCTTCTCTCAAATACCCCAGTTTCCACAATCTCCCAGCTTATCATACCTGATTAGTACCAGTGGTTGACCCAAACAGTCTTGTAGCTGTGGTCCCTTACACCTAGAATAGAAAGTCCCTCCCTTAGATGGATGATTGGAAAAGAGGCTCAAGTCTAGCAGTCTCAACATGCAAAACTTTTTTTCAGGGGCTCTCAGGGCATCCCATCCTGAAACCCAAAACTGTCCCAAAACATAGTTTTTACCTCCTGCTCACTAGCCTTCCTGAGCTCCCCTTGAACAAAACTCCCCTGACCTGGTTATACCAGATTCCCCAAAACTGGTATTATTTTGTGCTGTTACCAAATTTTTCCTTCCTCCAATCCTTTACTTTATGGCTGGAATTGATTTTTTTTTTTTTTTTTTTTTTTTTTTTTTTTTTTGAGACAAGGTCTCACTATGCATGCAGTTCAGGCTGGTCTTGAGCTCATTTCATAGCCCAGGCTGGTCTTGAACTCACAGTGATCCTTCTGCCTTCAGCCTCTCAAGTGCTAGAATTATAGGTGTGTACCACCACACTCAGTTTGGAACTAATGCTTAAATCACAATCTTTTTCTTTCTTTTGTGCCTCCTAACCTTTCCTCTCCTACCCCACCTTGTCCCACCACTGACCCCTGGGTGCAGTTCTCATGGCAGGGCCGACATTCATTCCGAACATCTGGGTACTTGAAGATAGGACCTTTGGCACCTAGGACTCCATGGGGGCAACTGCTCACACAGTGGGGCCCGTCTCGAAAATGGGCACACTGAACACAAGCATCAGAGCCCTGGGTAGAAAAAAGGTCAGGATCCTGAAGTGGGATCCCATTATTAATTCCATACATCCCAGCAAGGACCAACCCAGCCCATTCAGGAACCTCTGGAGCAGACTGTAACATCTGGCTTCTGTGGGCCATCCTGGACACTGGACTCTTAGTCCCTAGATACTCCCAAGTGTCAAGTCTTCCCCACCTCCCTGAGAGATCCAGGGCTACTGCCATACCGAGCCATTGCACGTGGCCATGCCCTCCATGGGCTGGCATTCTGGGTGGCAGGAAAAGCATTCAGCTTCATAGGCAAACTCACGAGGCTCCCTGTAGTGGAGGGTAAGGAAGAAGTGTCATTTCCCAAGTCCTGACCTTCAACACCTTGACCCTACAATGAGAATCAAGTTTGTTCCCACCAAGGTATGTGATGTATGTTGCTCAGAGGCTGTCAGGTACCATGGGAACAGCTCCATCCCAGGGCCCCAGCCCATCCTTGCTGATGGTCTCCTTTCACCATACCCATTCAGAAAGTTGCAGTGGGTCACACAGACACCCCCTCGGCTGTAGTTTCGACAGGACAAGCACTGCCCAGGGCCTTGGCCCCAGCATCCCCCGGAGGAGCACAGCGGGTCACACACTTTGCCCTCTGCCACTGGAATAGAAGGGGTAGGTCAGGTGCAGGAGTCCAAGGACAGCCCTTTCCTGGGTGCCCCCTCATTACTGTTTCCAACCTGCCAGCCCCTTTGTCCTTGGTTCCACCCTCAATTCGATTCCCAATTCCAGGGCAGAGCAGTTCTTTTTTTTTTTTTTCTTTTCTTTTTTTTTTCTTTTTCCTTTTTATCAGTACCGGGGATCGAACTCACAACTGCCTGCTTGCAAGGCAGGCGCTTATGCCACTGAGCTAAATCCCCAGCCCCGGTAGAGCAGTTCTTGCACCCCTCATCTTCTTGTTCTGCACCCTGTAGCCCACTTCCCTCACCACAGTCCCTGCGGGGCCGATTATGCTTGATGTCCAGCCTGTCTTCTGCAGACCCCCGAAGCAGCCTGGTCCAGTTCAGAGAGTGATGGTAGCAGAGCTGCCGATTGGCACTGATGTAGATACGACCAGCGCTTATCTCTTTTAGGGATCGGAGGCCCAGGGATGTAACATTCAAATTCTTCATTATCAATAGTGAGAAACCCCGGCTGAGAATAAGGGAACAGGATGAGCAGGCTGACTACAAAGAGAAAGGTATACATGCAGTGGATTCATTCACACTTGAAAATTTGCTCTGGGCTAGTCCTGCCCCCTGGGAGGAACTGTTCCCCATTAAACTCGAAGACCTCCTGGGGCTGCTGTAGGAAAGGGCACCCACCATGCATTTGGAGATGCTACCACCTCCACGTCTCTTACTCACTTGTAGAGACTTCTGCCCCCAATGGTTGTCAGATTGGAAAAAACACTGAAGTTGTGCATGTGTGGAGGCCAGGACTGGATGTTCAAGTAACCTGAGGGTTGGAAGAGGTATATGACAGGGCACCTCTCTGCTTCCTCTTTCTCTGGTTCTCCTGGTCCCTTCTTTTACTTGGGATGTGATTTCGTCAAGCAGCTAAGACTTCTTCCCCCTTACCTGTGATCTCCCGTACTGTCCGGAACACATTGAGCTTCTCAGGGTCTAAGGCAGGGATCTTGTGCCAAGGGTCTCTGGTGAGAAAAGTCAAAACTGGTCAGTCAAAACAGAGGTATAATCTAGTAAAAGAAACACACCTGTCTTCAACCTTGGGTTTTTCTAGATAATTTTTTGGTGGGGAGTGTGTATACTAGGTAGCACTCTGCCATGAGCTACATCTCCAGCCCACTGACCTTGGTTTCTAAGTGCTGTTCTCCACCCAAAGAAAACAGAACTCCTTGGAGAAATAGCTGAGGTAGGGGAAATAGCATGAGCCTAGGGTATAGGCTCTAGAGCCAGTGGTCAAAAGAATCAGGATACATGCTTAAAACACATGGGAGCAAATTTAAGGGGCCAAATCTAGGGTACCTAAACACTAAAATAAGAATGTAAAGGACCAGCAGTGGTGGCATATGCCTATATTCCCAGCTACTTACGAGCCAGAAGGACTATCTGAGGCTGAACTGGGCAAAGCAACAAGACCCTGTCTCAAATTAAAAAAAAAAAGGGGGGGCTGGGGATTTAGCTCAGCGGCATAAGCGCCTGCCTTGCAAGCACGTGGTCATGAGTTCGATCCCTGGTACCGGTAAAAATACAAAAATACAAAAAAAAAATTAAAAAAAAAAAAGCTGCCATGCATGATAGCATGATGGCACATGCCTATAATCTCAGTACTGGGGAGCGGGGGCAGAGGCAGGAGGATTACTGTGAATTTGAGGCCAGCTTAAACTATACAGCAAGACTGTCTAAAACAAATACATAAATAAAATGAACGAATGAATGAATGAGAGCTGGAGATATTGTTCAGTGACAATATCTACACAGATCAAAATAGATCAGGGCTTGGATTTAGCTCATTGGCAGAGCACTTGCATAGCAAGCAGGTCTTGGTTCAATCCCCAGTTCAGAAAAACAGATGAAAAAGTTTAACTTGGCTAAGGATGTAACTCAGTGGTAGGGTGTTTGCAGTAGCATGCCTGAGGCCGTAGATTAGATCCTAACATGAGGATACAGCAGACAAATCCAAGATCAAGATTATCCTACAAGTTAGCTGATTTACACTCACCAACAATGCCAATATCATGAAAGATAACAAAAACTGAGGAAGTGTTATAAATTAAAGGTGACTGAAGATATAACTTGAGTGTAACTGTATGGTCTGTGCATGAGTTTAGTAGAACAATTTGTGAAATCTGAATAAAATCTGTAGATTAGACAGTATTTGGTTTCAGCACCAAGTTTTTCATCCATGCAATGTACTTTGGTTATTTAAGAAAATGTTCTTGAAGGGCTGAGGGAGGAGCTCAATGGCAGAGCACTTGGCTAGCATGTATAAGGTCCTAGGTTGAACTCAATTCCTAGAATTCCAACCACAACAACAAAAAGTGAAAGAAAAAGAAAGAAAATGTGTTCTTGTTTTTAAGAAACATGCTGAAATATCACAGGGATAAGGGAGTACTGTTTCTGGAAATTCACCCTCCACTGGTTCAGAAACACACCATGATTTGTTTGGGTGTGTGTATAGAAAGAGAAAAAGAAATAAGCAGGCATGGTTGCTCATGCCTGTAATCCCAGCAGTCTGGGAGGCTGAGGAAGAATTGCTAAATTCAAGCCCAGCCTGGGGAGCTCAGCAATTTAATAACACCTGGCTCAAAATTAAAAAGAAGAAAAAAAGAAAGAAATTATAAAATCATAAGTAATATGTTTAACATTTAGGGAATCTGAGTAATAAGTGTATGGAAATCTTTATATCATTCTGTGACTCGAGTTACAGAACCAAAATACTGTCAAAATAAAAAATTAGATGGAAGCTGGATGTGGTAATGTGTGCCTGTAATCCTAACACCTGGGAAGCTGAGGCAGGAGGATCACTGTGAGTTTGAGGCCCGCCTGGACTACAAAGTGAGTTGAAGGCCAGACTCTGTCTCAAAAAGACCAAAAAAAAAAAAAAAGGGGAACATGATGGTGCATGCCTGTATTGCAGCAATTAGGAGGCTAAGACAGGAGGACTGGGTGTGAGTTCAAGGTCAGCCCAGGTTACACAGTGAGTTCAAACCCAGCCTCAACTACATAGTGAGAACCCTGTCTCAAAAAAACAAAACTAGAACGAAAAAACTAGGGTCAAGAATTTAGCTCAGCAATTTTAAGTGCCTGTTTGGTAAGCATGAATTTGTGTTTGATTCCTAGTATTCCCCCCACACACAAAAAAACCTAAACTAAACTGAGAAACTAGGTGTGGTGGTGCATACCTATAATCCCAGCAGTCAGGAGGCTGAGACAAGAGGATTGCTACGAGTTCAAGGTCAGTCTGAACTACACAGTGAAACCCTGCTTATACATAAAAAAGTATTATGGTACATGCCTATAATCCTAGTACCCAGAAACTGAGGCAGGAGGATTGCAAATTCAAAGTTAGCCTGGGAAACTTTGCAGTTTGGCAAGACCTTGGGCGGCAATAAAAAATTTTAAAAGGGATTGGTATGTAATTTAGTGCAAAGCTCTTGAGTTCAAAAATAGAAAAAGGGGCTGGGCATCACCTATAATCCCAGCACTTGGGAGGCTGAGGCAGGAGGACTACTGGTGAATTTGAGGCCAGCCTAAGCTACATAGCAAGATCCTGTCACCAAAAAATAAAAAAATAAAGGAACTGGGTGCAGTGGCACATGTCTGTAATCCCAGCACTCAGGAGGCTGAGGCAAGAGGATTGTTACAAGTTCGAGACCAACCTGGGCTGCCAAGTGAGCTCAAGGCTCAGTGCATAGTGCAACCCTGTTTTGAAAAGACAAAAACAAAAAAAAAAAAAAATGGAAAAGAAAAAAAAAAAAAAAAAAAAAAACAGATGGCCATAGTTTCTGTAACTTTCTCCATCTCTGTCTCACATACACATTTTAAATTCTTCCCAGTGGTCCAAAATGTCCCTTTGTTCTTTGTTGTTTCAAGCAACATAACTAGGAGAATTAGTTGGAAATTATGGGGAGGTATATTTTTATCTAAGTTTAGTAATACATTTTAGAAAACTTAAAGGAAAAAGATACATTGTCCCTGTCCCATGATTATCATCATTCATCAGGATGATACTGATTATTTAAGGATGTCCCCGAGGGTATTTAGGCCCTGGATATGAAGTTAAATTCAGCATTGTCTCAACTGCTAAGGTTTTATGACTTAGATTTCTGGTCACTCCACAGAGGCCAATGAAATTAACCATGTGGGTGGATGTGCCAAGAGACTGAGGAAGGAAGACAGAAGTTCTAACCCATTGAGTCCAGTGATCAGAAAGTCTAGGTTGCCCAGGATCTTGGTGCAGTTCACAAACCCATCGATGTTGCTCGAGTCCACAGTCTGGAAGCGACTCCCAGCACCTGTCCCTTCACAGGCTGCAGACACAAAAACGGCTCGGTGAGGATGGTCCGAATAGCCTCATGGGAAAGGATATGTCTCCACAACTCTACCACCTTCTACTCACCTTTAGGACACAACCCTCCACAAGGTTCACACATGTTGATGCCATTTTTATTTACTTCCATCTTGTCAGGAGGACATGCCCGGACACAGGATGTCTGATCCACCACGAAGTTATCTAAAGAAAAAGAAAGCACCATTAGAAATGAGGTAGAGGCCCTGCAAACTACCAAGGCAACCCCTCCTCTGCGCTCTTGTTCCCTCCTGCTGTGTACTGGACTGGCCACTGCTGCCACCTTAGCTTACTTAGGCATTGCGCCACAGATCAGAAGTTCCCTGGGCTCTTCATTCTCCTAAGGGCTAGGTAGGAGCAATTAAGGAGACAACACGTAGAGGTCACCCACTGAGGGAAGTCAGATGATCACAAACATCCGTGCTCTCGTTCTCTATATGACACCCAACCTGACCCCTTCAGTCTCCCAACCACTGTCATTTCTTCCCCTCAGCCACTTACGGGGACAGCTGGCTACACAAACTCCACCATACTGGTATTTGGTGTGGGGATTGGGTTCGAGCTGGAAAGTGAGCTTGTTGTACACAAGAGGCTGTGGGCACAGGGGCACACAGGCTCCGCTGTCGTTGAAGTGTCGGCAGGCCTGGGGACACAGTAAACCCCTGACATTCATGATACATGTGAACCCCACCTCTTCCCCACAGCCCATGCCCTCCTTTCTGAAGCCAGCATGTGCCTGGCAGGTGTACATACAAAGCAGTCGGTGTCCTGAGGGCCAGAGCAACCGCCTGCACACTCATCATGGCAGCACTGGTTGGGGTCCGGCCCAAAGCAGTGACCGTTACATTGAGGGGCACAGATAGTCTTTGTCACTATGGAGGAAGAAAAAGCATGGAATCAGGGCTCCTAGGACTGAATTCCAGGGCCATTGCTCATCCCCATCTGCAACATGAACACAAGTGTGCATTGGCAGGGTTGTCAAAGTGTATGAGCTTGAAGTTTTAAAGGGAAATTGAAACCCACATGTTTGGCAGTCCTCTGGTCCAGGGCCCCAGCAACGTCCCTTGCAGGCCTCGTGACATGGGGGACCTGGTTAGGAAAAAACACAACACAGGGGGCCATCAATTCTTAGAAAAGCTTGCTTGGATCAGCAGCGTATGATGTCAGCACACAGGAACCTCAATCCAGGGAGCAAGAGCCAGGGCAGTGTCCCTCCCTAGCCTTGGAGAACAGGGCTCTGCTTAAGTGAATCTGTCAACAAGGGGTGGAGCCACACCCCCACACCACCCAGTGGGCGGCTGAAAGGGAGGGCAGGGCAAATGCCAATCTCAGCCCCAGCCCCAACCAGGAACCTGCTTCCTTCTGGTTAAACTGAGCCCAGTAGGGACCTGTGCTTGTGAGGGAGCGCAGACTGTGGTCAGGGTGGGGTGGGAAGATCTGGCCTCCTGGCAACCCACCCCACCACTTTTCCTGATACACTGCTTCTGTGATATGGATTCCAGAGGCCTGACCAGGTAGGTCCCTCCTGGCAGGCTCCTGGCATGGGGCCTGGGATGATTGTTCAGTGGAGAGGTAGATTTGGCTTAGGGATATGAGGATGGTTTGGTGTGGCACAGGGAGCAATCTTGATCATGGTTACTTACAGCTTCTGCCATTGTCCTGCACCACTATCTCAGCGTCTGGGTGCCTCACAATATCCCGCCAGTCAATTGTGTCCATGTGACAAAGTTTATCATTCTTCTCAATATAAACACCCCCTGACAGGATCTCTGAGGTAGGGAAGAGAGTGAAAGGTTAAGGGCTTCAGTACCCACCAAAAGGACACTAGACAGCCAGGAGTAGGAGAAGCCTAGCATGCAGTCCAATTAGGTCCACTATGCGGCAAAGGGTTGCCATCCAAGAGGAGTCAGTCATACAGATTCCTGCCTCTTCAGACACCTGTCTAAGTCCCGGTTTAGATCCGGTTTAGCCAGTGGAGGGGAGGAGGGGAAGGGAAAGAAGGAAAAGATATCTTTGATTTAATGCCCCTGCCCCCAGGCCTACCCAAGTGTTTTCCAACTAACTGGGACAAGCAGCCAGAGAAGGTGGCCAGGTGGAATTTAACCCCTCTGTACCTCCAGCTTGTGGTGACTAGGGAGGGAGGGCAGGCAGCACTCCAAGGAAGGAGGGACTCTAAAGTACACTGTACCTTGCATTGGGAGGCACGGCTAACAGATCCAACTCCAACTCCAACCCCCGCCCAAGGACCTCCCTTCCGGGGGCAGATGCTCTCAGCTCTCTACTGGGTCTTCTACTGTTTAAGGGGTGGTGGATCTTTACACAATGTAGTCAAGCAGTGTTGGGTCCTCATCAGAGAGGTGCCTGTCAGCAGGACCCTGAGAGCAAGACCAGAAGGAATAATCAGAAACTGACCTGTGAGCTGGGTAAAACGGAGCTGGCGCAGAGCATGGCTGGAGTTGGTGTTATAGTTCAACATGACAAAGATGGCAAACTTCCCATCGTAGACCTGGGTCCCCCGCACCACTCGCAGGTTAGGCAAGGGGAGTGTAGAGAATTCGTTCATGGCCACGAGGACATAGCCTGTCACTTCTCGAATCCACTGTGATGGAGCAGATCATGGCAGTGAGAGAGACAACAAGACAGCGTCTCAGCCCTTTTCCATCTTAAGGTACTAAAGGAGCCCTTAACTATTTTTTCCAGGGCCTCATTCATTTTAGGCAAGCACTCTATCCTTGACCTATCCAGCAGCCCCCCTTGAATCCTTAACTTACTGTTCAGGTAGGCCTCAAGTTTCTGGGCTAACATACTCTTCCTGCCTCCGTCTCCTGACCAGCTGGTATTAGAGGTATGGTCATTGCACCATCTGTCCCATCCTTTTTTCAGGGCCACCCCACATATCTCTGACTCCGCGACCAGACTTTAGCCATAGGATTCTAGTCCCTGTCTCCCTTATGGAACTACTTAGGAACTATTGAGTCTTAGGAAGGCTGAGCTGAGCAGAGTCATCCTGAGAAAGAGAAGATGTCTTCTATGTGGAGGATGGGGGCAGCGGGTTAGTTGGAAGGGGTTGGGTGTGCTAACCTGTAAGAAAGAGAGGTCCGCATTGTGTCCAGTGAGAACAATTTCCAGGTTCCCCATCACCACCTCACACCTTTCATAGAGCTTGTATAGTGTTTGGTATTGATTCTCAGCATCGCCTGTCACACTCAGTCCGTTCAGAGTCCCAGGGCACACTGTTCGAAATGGGAGTAAGAGTGGCAGAGTGCTGGATGTAAGTTTTCAGTGCCATCTGCTACTCCCAAGAGCATCCTTTATTGCACTCTTCCAGAAACACTCAGCAGGACCAGAAGGCAGCTGTCTGCCAACCTCCGCAGTGAGGGGTGGACAGTGACACCTACCAGAACCGAAGCCTCCCCCCTCCATTGTCCCATCATCTATGAAATGGGAAGGTGAAGTTTTCTGTTCCCACTAGGGCATATCCTCTTCTATCTCTTTCAGAACTACTTTGGGGACTAAGGGGTTAATCCAGAAGGAAGACAGAGGGGACTTTTTCCTCTCCCTAGAAAGAAGTTAGGCAAGGACTACAACTTTGATTACCCTCCTCTCCCCTCAGCCACTTACTTCTCTGGCCCCAGCCTGCCTCTCTCAGCCCCAGCCCCGGAATAAATATCTCTTTGGGGCTAGCACACAGCCCCTATTGTGTCTGCCAGGGTGGGATGGGGCAGAGGGTGGGGGCATTGCCCAGGGCCAGAGTTCAGCCCACAATGAGGCGATTCTATCCAGGAGGAGGGGGTTGCCCCACCCTGTCCAAGACACCCCATCCTCAGCAGCACCCCCCTCCACTCTGGAACCCTGGGCTCAGACAAGTGACCTCACTGGAGGGGGGAGCTCCCTGGTGGTGGGGTCAATGGGAGCTTTGTCTTTAACACTGAAAGATAAGGAGCTGGCAGTCACCCCCCCCTTTAAATTTTGGCTTCCTTTCTCATTCCCTTCCCCTATTCCAACATACTCCATCCAGCTCCCTCAGCATCACTCCAGCACTGTTTTTCAGCAAACACAGAGAAGGTGGAAGAAAACAGTAGGAGACCCCTCATTCCTAAGCCCTTGGCCAATTTCAGTGTGAACACAGATTCATTACTGAAGGCCTGACATGGCAATCTCACTGATACTTGCACTTGGGAAGAGCTCAGACCCATGGCATGGAGGAGAGGTGCATGAGGCACCTTGGGTTCTCACTTTCCTTTGTAAACATGAAGGACACCCGGCTTTGGGAAGTCTTGGTCCATGAAGCTCTACCTTGTCTCTAGTCCTTGTGGGTAGGGTGCAGAGGAGGAGATAGATAGCACCTTTTCCAACCACCCTTCCCTGAGGCAGTGGCAGCTCAGTGGGAAGCAGAAGTACTCAGGGAGAAGGAGGGAGACTGAGAGGCCCCCACCCCTCCAGCTGGCTACTGCCTAGATCAGACGGCTTGACCTTTGAGGAATCCTCTTCCCAGTCGTTCCCCAGGAAGGGAAGCAGGTAGGGGGAATCTCAGGAAAGGGGGCAAACAGGCCAGGAGCTCCCAGAGGAGCCTGGGAAGGTTAGTCATTTCTGGATTGGCCCCACCCTAAACCCCTTCCAGGCAGGACACCCCCTCTTCCACCTTAAGGTGCCAACTCTTCTCCCAGATAAAGGAGGAGCCAAGATTTCTGCACAAGGAAGTGGTGTATGCTCACATGCCTACATGCACACTACCCAGACACAACTACAAACACAAACATGTACATAGGTTTGCACAAGGAAGTAGGGTGTGCTCTTATGCCTACATGCACACTACCCAGACACAACTACAAACACAAACATGTATATAGGTTCCTCGCCAGTCCAGAAATCTAACTGGTCTGTCCTCAGGTCCTTATCACCAAGTACTCCAAGTGGCCCCAAGGAGGCCATCTGCCCATAAATACAGCTCAGACTTTGAGTCTGTGCTTGGAAGTCAGCAGAGCAACAAATCCCAGTTCTCTGGCACCCTGAGGGTAAAGTCCACCTTTCATAAGTGGGAGCAAAGGGCCTGGGCAGGGACTATATACATCTCTGGGGCGGCACCAGGCAACTTAGGCAACAGGGAAGGGGAACAACAATTATGAAAATCCCTGCTGTATCCAGGAACTAGGAGTCGGGAAGGACAGGACAGTGTCAAAGACCCTCCTCCCGGGGAGGGTACTGGGAGTAAAACAGAGGACAATCTCAAACAGAGGCCTTCCCTCCTGTCCCCCACCCCTGTCACAGTAGGGACAAAGGGACTATAGAGGGCCTGAGACAGGGCCGGATGCCCAGAGGCTGCAGGATCCAGATAAAGTAGAGACTTAACCGTGCCTGCCTTCTGCTTCTCTCAGGGAGGGTGCAACAGTCTGGGACTCCTGGGATCCCAGCTAAAGATTCTTGGGGTCTGCAAGGGACACTGACACTGTCACTCTACTGGCCCCTCCCACTCCAGTCCCCAGACCACCTCCCTCCACCAGCTGGGAGTTTCACATCTCAAGATCCTTGGGAGTTAAATTTAGGCCCAGCAACTGTGGGGAACCACAGGTGGTTTCTCCCACTCCCACCCTGGGGAAGGGGCCCTGGCTGTGCCAAACCCCAAGCTGATATGGGGGTGGGGGTGGGGAGAGAGCAACAGAACTCTGATCCCACTGAGGCCAGCACCCTTCAAGTGTCCCTGGTCCCAGAGACCCCCCCCCCCCAAAGGTGTGGGCTCAATGGCATGGAAGCAGGAGGTGGAATGGAGAGAAGCTACCAAGAAATGGTGGAGTAAACAATAAACAGACTGGGGGAGGGGCAGGAAGGAACAACTTTTAGAACAGGTGGCTCTGAAGGTGGGAGTGGTACCTGTGTGGCCCTCCTATTGGGGTGAGAAAAGACTGAGAAATGAAGTCTGAATGTCCTTTCCACTTTGGAGCTCCTGACTCCAAGTCCTGTACGTAGTAGATGTTCGATAAATATTAGTTGAATTGACCTGGGTCTTAACAGAGGATGGGGCCACCCCGCCTTGTTTTGAGGGAAAGCTGACAGCCAGCCCCTTATTGGGCCTCTCACCCTGCTGTCCCCTGGACTTGGCTCTGGGGTTAATTTCTGCCCTCCCCAAGACAGGCCCACTCACGGAAGAGGAGGTGCCACTCCTGTTTTTCCAACATCAGAAAACAACAACCTACTCTAGACCTGCCACAGCTCCGCCCTATCGGCAAAACAACGAAACTAGGGGTTGGGGAAACCTGAGTAGAGTGGGGTTCAGGGGATACAGTGAGCACCTTCCGCCAAGGTCCCCACCTCCCTCAACCTCCTCACAAAACCTACGTCCCCGCTCAGCAATTTAAACAGCGGAGACTAATTAGGGGGTCAGCGAGGCTCTGTAAGGGGGCGTGCGTCCAGGAATGTGTCCCTGCCCGACCACGCCAAGAACTCAAGCCCGACGCTCCCCTCCCGGTAGCCCCTGTCGCCCTGGGGTCATAGCCCCAGCCCTGAAAGCCTGGCCCTGCTCAGGCTCTCAGTGTGCTGCTGTCTGCCCCCCGGTCCCGGGCAGCGGGCGCCCCCGTACCACTTACCTGCCTGCGAGTTGCCCACCTCCGAGCCCCGGGCCAGGCTGAGAAGGAAGCCCAGCACCTGCAGAGCCCCACTGGCCCTCATGACTCCAGCGGGAGGTGAAGGGAGCCCAGCCGAGTCCGGCCCGGCGGGGGACCGTGGACTAGGACATTGAAGCCATAGCCACCTGAGCCGCCCGCGAGTGGGAGGCGGCAACGGTGGCCTCGGAGTTGCACTCTGCGGCCGGAGCCGGAGTCTGGAGCGGGGTGGCAGAGCAGGGTGTACGTCGGGCTGAGAGGGAGGGAGCTCAGGAGAAGGGGGTGAGTCACGGCCGCGCCCCCTCGCGTGCGCGGCTAGAGCGGGGCGTGCGGAGCCTCGCGCCGCTTGCCCGAAGCGCACCCCACAGCGTAGCCGAACGGGTCCAGGAGTGGGCTCACGCCCGCGTTTCCCCGGGAGCCTCAGAGAGCCGAGCGCTGGACTCCAAGTGCCCCCCGACCCCGGGAAAGGTATTGAATGGAGTGGGAAGAGCGCTCCAAAGCCCGGCCCCCTGAAAGTTAGCCTCGCCCATTAACCAAATTACTCAACTCCCCTAGCCGGTTGGGTCACTTGAGGGATTTTGTCTCCAAATATGACTGTTTCTCATTGTGTTTTTGAGTAGGAGGGTGTTTTTATACTCAGGCCACCTCAGTTTCCCCGGGACTCAAAGCCCCGTAACTCATCCCCTCTGCCCAGGAACCTGAGCCCCAGAGGCCGCGTGAAATCGCACTGTCTCCAGCCGCTTCCTCCTGCAGCCCGGCGCCGCCGGCCTCTCCCGGGGATTTGGCTGGGAGGCGGGGGTGGCTTCCAGCCTGGGAACAGACCCCGGAGCCCGCCTTTCCCCTGCCACCCGGGGAGGGGCTCCCGCACCTGTCGCCCTCCCCTCTGCTGCCCCCCACGGCCGCCTGCGCGAACAGCTGCCTGCCTGCCTCGCTGCAGTGCGCGCCCGCGCCGTCCCGACGACCGCGCTCCCCGCCGCTCTCTGGGGACCGGGACTGGCGCAAGGTCCCGCCACCCACGTCCACACCCGCCAGGTGCCTTCCAGGACCCGCTCGCGCTGCCAAGCAAGGATGATGCTGGGAGGTCCCTAGAGCCTGAGTCCACTGCAGGCAACGAGCCCCACTGCCCAAGTCAGTTCTACTGTCCCGCGTTGGGCGGGTTGCGACCCCCTATCCGGCTGGATCCGACTGGCGCCCCCTGGTGCCCAACCCGTGGCAGTGGCGCCCCACTCTGCGTTGCATTGCAAATCTAGCGAATTGACCTTCCAAATTTGGCTAACAGATCCTGCCTAATCATTTCCCTCAAAGTCTTTAAGAAACCTTAAGATGTTGGAGAACCATCCCCCGCCTCTTGATACACACCACAAACCAAGGCTAATTTTTTTTATGTGTTCGCTTTTTCTCGGAACTGGGGTTTGAACCTAGATCTTTCGCTGTGAGGTACGTTCCCATTACACCACCACCCCCTTGTGACTCGATAGATTCAGTCTGAGTTCCAGTGTGAGGTCTTACTGCTTCAGCCTCGCATAGTACTGAGATTATGGGCAGGCACATCACACACCCCAAGGCTAAAATTCTTTAAACCTACTCTTGTGTACTGATAATCAACCTAGAGGGTTCCTCAAGTGGTTGACCTCACCCTAACCTCTTGCAACAGTCATACATCTAACAGCAAAACCATTAATATATGCATCCATACACCATTTCATTTGCAAAGTATTTCCTCAAAAGGCTGAGCATGTAATCCCAGCATTCTGGAGGCTGAGGCAGGAGAATCACTGTGTGTCTCAAAAAAATTTTTTTTAGCTGGGAGTGGTGGCTCATGCCTGTAATCCCAGCTCTTGGTAGGTTGAGGCTGGAGAATCACTGTGAGTTCGAGGCCAGCCTGAGCCACGTAATGAGTTCAAGATCAGCCTGAACTACATAGCGAAATTGTCTCAAAAAAACAAAAAAAAATTTTTTCCCTCAAACTTAATGCCTTAAAGAATGTATCACAACATGAATAATACGTGAGCTAACAATTTCACTCTCCATTTTATCTATTTATTTACAGTACTTTTGGTTTTTTTTGAGATAGGGTCTCCTGTGTAGTTCAGGCTAGCCTCACACCCCCTACAATCCTGCCTCAGCCTCCTCAGTATGGGGATTACAGGTATGTGCCGCCATGCCAAAGTTTGTATTTTACAGAACTGGAAACGTGTGATTTTTCTCCAGATTCATCCAGCTGGTGGATGAATGGTCAAGGACATCAAAAGATGCTCATGTCTTAGCTGACTGGAGTTTTATCTGATAAAAGATTCAAACTGCCATCAGATAATAGTATTAATATCTTGTGAGTAGTCCAGACTGGCCTTGAATTCATTCTGCAGTCCAGGCTGACCTTGAACTCTTGACAATCTTCTCTTACCTCAGCCTCCCCAAGTGCTAGGATTACAGGGGTACAACTGTAATCCAAAACCATGCCTGTTTTGATTTCCTTGTTTAAAAGCAGTAGTAAAAACTGTGATGCAAGTTTGTAATCCCAGCACCTTGAGGCAGAAGGATGATGGCAAGTTAGAGGCCAGCCTGGGTTATGTAATGAGATCTGCTCTAAAAAGAAGGAAGGAGAGGGAAGACTGTCCAAACAAGAAAGAGAGGGAGAGAGAGGGAAAGAGAAAAGTTGGACTATGATTCCAAGAACCTGGGTTCCTTAGTTGTATCTCCTTAGAAGGTGGTTTGGATTTAAAGAGACTGGAACAGATCAGCTTTAACTGTGTTGTACTGGGTCTATAAGAAGCTAGCTGTATCCACTCCTGCTCTCTTCAAGCCCAGCTCTCCCACTCAGCTCAAGTTGTGTCTTCATTCTTTTGCCCTTGGAGAAGCAACAGTATGCCAAGCACCCCCGATGTAAACGCACACAGAGCTCCCCTGGTCCTGGTAGGGGCTGACAGGAACAAATAAAGAAAGAAAACCTGACTTGTGGTTGCTGTCAATTGTTCTCCAGCATCCCTTTATCTTTCTTCAATCCTAGTCAATGACTTGGTTCTTATTTTACTGTTAAAAAAAAAAAAAAAATCCAGGCTTAGTGGCGCATACCTGTAATCCCAGCACTCAGGAGGCAGAGGCAGGAGAATTGTTGCAAATTCAAAGCCAGCCTAGGGGCTGGGGATTTAGCTCAGCGGCATAAGCACCTGCCTTGCAAGCAGGCGGTCGTGAGTTCGATCCCCGGTACCAATAAAAATGAAAAAGACAAAAAAAAAAAAAAAAAAAAAAAACAAAGCCAGCCTGAGCTACAAAGTGAGCTCAAGACCAGCCTAAACTGCTCAGTGAGACCCCTATCTCTCAAAAAAAAAAAAAAAAAGAAAGAAAGAAAAAGAAAAGAAAACATCAGAAGCCAGGCATGGGGGCATTTATCGTTTATCTGTGATCCTAGTATTCTGATGCTAGAGGAACAAAATTTTGAATTCAAGGCAACTGACAAGGCAACTCTGAACTACATAGTGAGTTCCTGTATTTGGTAGAGTGGGGCGGGGGGTTTAGGTCAGTGGCATAAGCATCTGCCTTGCAAACCCATGGTCATGAGTCCGATCCCAAGTACTGACAAAAAAAACCCCTCAAAAACCAAAACACAGTAAAATGGTAGAGGAAGGGCAGGAGATGTAGCTCATCAGTGCAAACACCTGCCTGCAAGCACAAGGTCCTGAGTTCAATACCTAAACAAACAAACAAACAAAAAAAAGTAAAAATAACAGAGCAACCCATTTAGGACCCTCCTGTCTCTTAGAAGCTTTGCCTATTCCCCCAATATTTTTTCCTAAAAAAACTTTTTAAATGAAATAAAGGTAATCAAAAGAAAATATCCAGCCCCTTTTTCCTTTTTATCGGTACCAGGGATCGAACTCACGACTGTCTGCTTGCAAGGCAGGCGCTTATGCCACTGAGCTAAAAAGGAAAAAGACCAAAAAAAAAAAAAAAGAAAAGAAAATATCCAGCCCCTTAGTAACACACACACACACACACCCAACAATAATAACAAGTCCTACAAAAGTCCTGTCTTCTCAAGGCCAATCTACTCAGCTTCCATCTTGTTACACTGAGTTGACATTGCCCTCGTTTAGGCCAACCCCACCCCCCACACACACACATTTCCCTCTTGTCTACCCAAGGACTAATTTTCTTGCCCTATCCACTGCATTGTCTGCTTTTCTTTCTATAAATCCACTTCCTTTAGCATACAGATATGCTGTAACCTCTGCCACTGAAAAAAACAAAATAGCCAGGCACAATGGCACACACCTGTAGTCCCAGCACTTGGGAGGTGAGGCAGGAGGACTGCTGTGAATTCAGGGCCAGCTTGTATGGCATAGGGAGACCCTGTCTCAAAACACAAATGATAACAAAACTTGCTTTTATCTCCATGACCTAGTTCATTGTTCCTAGCTACTGTAAGATGTAATGTGATGTGGTTCCCTAGATTTTGTTAGTTATCCCCCTGACAAATAATTAGACTACCTCTAACTTCTGACTTACTGCAGTCACAAGCAGATCTTCAGTAAGTATTTTGGTATGTATCTTTTTTGGCCCTTTGACATATGTTGTGCATATTGAGCTCCACATCCGGCTGAGTCAGCACTGGTCCACACCCCCCCCATCCATAGTAGGGTGTTTATATCCCAGCTTCTTTGCCAATACTTGACACCATTCAGGTTACCATTTTTCTGTTTTATATTGGGTTTTAAATATCTCATTGCACTTTTTCCCCCTGGTAGTGATGATTCTTAATTTTTTTTTTTTTTTTTTTTTTTTTTTTTTGAGATAGGGTCTCACTGTGTAGCCCAGGCT